TATCTCTCCCGGTCTCTCTGTCTCCCCCTCTCTTCCCCCCCCCGCCTCTTTTCCTGTCTCTGGTCTCTGTCTGTCTCTCCTGATCTCTCTGTCTCACTCTTTCCCTTTCTCTCTCTCTGTCCCTCCCTGTCTCTGATATCTCTCTGTCTCCCCGTCTCTCTGTCTCCCCCTGTCTCTCCTAGTCTCTCAGTCTCACTCTGTCCCTGTCTCTCCCTTTTTCTGTCCCTCCCTGTCTCTCCATCCCTTGCCATCTCTCTGTCTCCCCCCGTCTCTGGTCTCTGTCTGTCTCCCCCTGTCTCTCCCAGTCTCTCAGTCTCACTCTGTCCCTGTCTCTCCCTCTCTCTCTCTCTGTCCCTCCCTGTCTCTGGTCTCTGTCTGTCTCCACCTGTCTCTCCTGGTCTCTCTGTCTCTTCCTAACTCTCTGTCTCCACCCTCCCCACCCTCTGCCTCTTTCCCTGTCTCTGGTCTCTGTCTGTCTCTCCTGGTCTCTCTGTCTCACTCTTTCCCTGTCTCTCCCTCTCTCTCTCTCTGTCCCACCCTGTCTCTGGTCTCTGTCTGTCTTCCCCTGTCTCTCCATCTCTCCTGTCTCTCTGACAGAGACCAGAGACAGGGAGGCAATGAGATAGGGGGAGACAAGAGACAGAGATCAGAGACACGGTGGAGACAGATCAGAGACGGGGAGACAGAGACCAGAGACAGACACAGGAGGAGACCCCTCCCCTTTCTCTTCTGTCCCATCTGTGTCTCTCTTCTTCTGGCTCCTAACTCTTTGCAAACCCCTCACACGGGGAATCTGAGGCGGTGGGTGCTCATGGGGACCTGGGGTCTGCTCCCAATACCCCGGCCCCCACAGGGCTACAACCAAGGGTTCTTTCTGTCTGCCGACCTCTGACTACTTCTCTCTGACCCCATGTGTATCCCAAACCCTGTCCACACCCTGTCCACATACCATGCCATGCCCAGGAGCTTGTGAGGAAAGACAGATGTCCAAGTGGTGACAGAGGAACAGTGAGGGTGGGAGGGAACCTCTGTCCTCAGCTGTCCTGGGCCTTGACCACCCCAACCTCTCAGGTCCAGCCTGGGACAAGGGACTGGGGGCAGGCCAGCCCCTGAGAGATGGCGTCCAGGCTTGGATGTGAACTCACCAGTCCAGTCCAGGGCGTCGTCCCCGTGCTGGCAGGTGGAGAAGGTCCCCCCTGCTTGTCTCGTGGTCAGCACCGTCATCAGCACCATGACGAGCACACCCTCCATCTGTCTGGACACACACGGAGCCCTCAGTCCCCGCTGGTGACGGAGGCTTCATGGCAGGAGGGCAGCCACGTGGCCAGCAGGCTGACACTGACCACCGTGGGGTGGGCGGGGAAGGAAGGGGTGTCAAGTCTTAGGGGAGGGGCTGTGCGCCACGCGCTGGAATGAGAGACGGTGTCCAGGGGCCTTGTACATACGGGCTTCGGGCAGGCCACTGGGGCGTGTGGACACTCACCCCAGCACGAAGACCAGGCCGGTGGCGGCACCTTCGCCCACGGGGAAGGAGCACTCTATGGCCAGCTCCATTACGACCGGCGCGATGGACATGCCGAAGAAGCCGAACAGGGAACAGATGACCGCCAGCCAGACCTTCTGTCCTCGCAGCTGGGACACCTGGGCGGGGTGGGGCACAGGCCCACAGTGGGTGAGGCTGCCAGATGCACTCCAACATCCCAGACCCAGCTAGTGCTGGACAGAGCTCACCAGTCCCTCCCAGGCTGGGGGACCACCATCTCCCAGGGGAATCCCCTCTCCAGACCAGCAAAACAGCCAAGGTCTGAACTGCGGCTGCCTCACCCAGGCCTCACCTCCCTCCCCGCCTCCCAGGGCACCCTGAGCCCTCAGCCCTGCCCTCTCCCCGCCTGGCCCCCACCTCAGCCCCCAGCCCCACAGGGCACAGGGAGCCCTCACCACAGAGAAGGCCACACAGGCCATGGAGGTCAGGCAGAAGCCAATCTTCGTGGCCTCCGTGAAGTGCTTGGTCCTGTCCACGTACAAGCCAAGGCCCAGTGCGCCCAGTAACCCAAACACGATGAAGAGGGCGCCACAGAGGCCGGCGAAATCCTGCAGGGGAAGAGGTCAGGGCTCAGCACATCCAGGGCCCCAGGGAACTGCAGCCCAGCACTGACCCTCAGGCCCACTGCTGAGGTACGACAGCTGCACCATGGGCCTGCACGTGGGCCTGCACCGTGGGCTGGCATCTCCCCCATCCAGGGACCCAACACGCTGAAGGGAGACGGGACCTAGGCGCAGGGAAGGTGCAGTCCCTGCAGTGACCCCTGCCCCCAGGCCCGTGTGCCCTGGCGGAGGTGGACGTGCACGTCAGGACTAGCGGTGATCCAGATGGCAGAAGGGCTGTGAGCAGCTCGAGTGTGTCTTCCTCGGCAAGACCTCAGCATCCTTATCTCCAACCAGCAAAGGAGAACCCCTCCCCAGAGACCCACCAGAGGGGGCGCCGCAGAGGGAAGATGGCTCCAAGTCCCACATACAAATCCCAGTCATGCCACCAGCCCTTCCCCAGGCATCCACCAGCACCACCAACGATGCGTCACCGCCCTCTCCATCACGACTCCCACTGTCCCCAAGACCATCAGCTCCTCTAGCTCTTCCACGCCGCCCCCTTGACTACACTACAGCCGTCTCCACCATGACAACCTTCACCATCAAGGTCACCCCGTCCTCCACCTCCTAATCCCATCCGGAAGGCAACCTCACAACCACTGCTACCACTAGAATCCCAGCCACCGAGACCACCACTTCCTCCACCTTCATCCCATCCATCATGGGCACCAGGCCTTTCATCCCTTCCCTATGGCCACCATTTCTACCAACATTACCCCAGCCTCCAGGACCATTAACTGGACCACCTCCTTCATCCCATTCCCATCACCCTCTCCACCACCATTACCAAGGCCACCAAGGCCATCACCTCCTCCAACTCCTCCCCCCCATCTCCACGGACACCACCTCCATCCCCACACTCCTGCTAACATGACCATGATCGATACCCCCTCCTCCAAACTCCTCCATCCCATCATCTCCCAGACTCCCTGTGATCTAGACTCCCTACTCCAACTTCTCCATCCCATCTCCCACATTCTCTATGACCTAGACCCCCTCTTCCAACTCCTCCATCCCATCTCCATGGAAACGACCTCCATCACCACACTCCTGCTAACATGACCATGATCTAGACCCCCTCCTCCAACTCCTCCATTCCATCTCCATGGCTACCACCTCCATCACCACATCTTCTAACATGACCATGATCTGGGATCACCTCTTTTGGCATTTGACGTCACTTTCCACACCTACTGTCTCAGTAAACCCAACCTCAGTCAACTGGCATCAATATTGTCCCCATTTGAGAGGTGTGCCCTGAGCACCGAGTGACCCCACAGCCACAGCAGGAGTGAGTGGAGCGTGCTCTCCCAGCACCCCTCCCTCCCTACACGGGGTCCCCCTCACGTCGACGGGGACACACACTCACATTGGAATAGCCCTTCACACAGAGGATCTGCTCCAGGAAGGCGGAGAAGCTGGAGAAGATGCCGATGCCAGCCCCGAAGCACAGTGCCAAGATGATGTAAGCCTTGTTCTTCACGAGCTGGAGGCGAAGAGGTCGCTCAGCATGGGGGCCACCCGTTCAATGTGGGTGCTCTGGGGTCCCAGGGACAATGGTGGGCTCTCACGCCGGGGTCAGGACAAGCACCCCTGCGACCAGGAAGGTTCCTCCTCCCCTCTCCCTCTCAGACCACACTCCTTCTCAAAGATGCTGGCTCCCTCCCGGGCAAATGCATCCCGGTCCCCAGGAGCATAGCACCGACCAGTTTCAGCCCATCGAGGAACTTTTCCGAGGTGGAGCTGGCAGCTCCGGCTGAGGGAGGGGTGGGTGGGACGCTTTCACAGAGACACGTGGTGGCCAGCAGGCAGGCAACGCCAGCAGGGATGATGTAGATGCCGAGCTGGGGGTGGGAATGCGTAGTGTGAGCAGGCCTCCATGCGTGCACACACGCATTTACACATAGCTGTGGATGTATGCACACGCGTACCAGGGCTCACGCAGAGACCCTCACTCTGGGCTTCCAGCACATACTCGTCCATTCCCTCCCTCCTGGATACACTTGCTCTGCCTCCTGGCTAGCTGCTGCTCCAGACATGACCTGGGACCTGGGAGTCTCCCTTCAACAGTGAGCTCTTGAGCTGGCTGGAGGCTCAGCTCTGGCTTCTCCACCTTGTGTCCACCTGTTGCTGTTTTAATTAAGCGCTGTCAGTCAAGTGGAGTACAGCTGATCCGAACCCTGCTCCGTCCTGGGACGTCCTCATCATCTCTGACACACCTGGGCTACAGCCACTGTGTCGATTCATCTCAAGACTTTTCCTTTCTTTCGTTGACCCTGCACCTACCCAAGCATCATGTCCTGTTCCAAGAAATGTTGTTGTTAAGTGCTGTCAAGTCACAGGAGACTCGTAGCGACCCTATGAAGGAGAGTCCTCAACGCCTGGGTGTCTCTCATCCTTTCTCCTGGTTCATAGGGTTTCTGGAGGCAAGCTATTATGGAAGTGGATGCCACTCCTGCTTCCAAGCTTGTTTTAATCGGAGAGCTCCACCAAACACTGTCAGCATTGGGTAACCAACCATTAATGCATTTGACACATAAGTGTCACAGTTTCCAAGGAATAGCTTCTTTTAACAACATGCCCAAAGTATGTGAGATGAAGCCTTATCATCTTTGCCTTCAGTATGGCTGGACTTTATCTAAAGCATATCTGTTCTTTTGGTAGCTCATGCGATATTCAGTATTCCAACACCACAACTCAAAGGCATCAATAATGTTTCTGCAGTACTTATTCATTGTCCAGCTTTCCTATGCATAGCAGGTGACTGAAATAGACCATAGCTTGAATCAGGCGTACCTTAGTCTTTAAGATGACATCATTGCTCTTCAGTACTTTGGAGAGGTCCCTGATAGCAGATGCCCACAATGCAATGCGCCTTTTTATTTCTTGCCTAAGTGTTTTCAACTGAAGCTGTAACTCTCTGAATATCTTCCAAAGATGATTCTCACATAGATATCTTTAGCCTGGCCTTCTCTATAACTCCAGACGCATCCATCTGACAGTAGGTGTCATGTGGACTTTTGCTTTAGATCTTTGGAAAAGCAGCTTGAGAGATACCCCCCACCCCGCCCTGAAAGCGCCAAGTGGTTACTTTTGCTGGGGTTCTTGGGAGAAGCAATGGGAAGGGAGGGGAACATTCTAGGTCACTCTCTGCCCCATTGGGCTGCTATTTTTGCCTCGGGGAGGAGCTGGCATCTGCCAACAGAAAATGCTGCTTTTGATTAAGACCTGAGTTCACCGATTTCGCAAGGGGAAGTGAGGAGTGGCTGAACTGTGGTTTTGGGGAGGGAGAACCCCACCTTGTAAACGATTACAATCGACATATATAATTTGCTGATACAGAGATTTTTTCCAGGCCTCCTGATTGAGAGAGAGGCTGGTTAAGAGCTGGGCTGGTAGAGAAGCAAAGCCAAGCAGGAAAGTGGGAACTGGGTGGTGTTAAAGCTGAGACCCAGGCTGTGAACTGGCCTGTCAGAAACAGGCTAATGATGGACCTGGAGAAAGGACGGAAGTTATACAAATGTCCAGGTCTTTCATTCATCGCGTCACTATGAGTCGCCTACGACTCGACGACACTTAACAATAACAGCACCAGCATAGAGAGAGGTCAGGCGGCCTGGCGTGCAGAAAGTGATGCTCCCAAGCCAAAGGCGGGTGACTCTAGTCCACGACCCTCAGGCCTGCCTTTGTTTTTGGTGAAACATTCTTCTAGGTCGTATAGCCCTGGCCTGTCCGCTTGCTGTACAGAGGAAACTTGTGGTTGCTGTGAAGCTGAACACTGTGACACTGACGTGTCAAATGTGAGAATGGTTACCCGTGGTGGACAGTGTTTGGGGGAGCTCCCCGATTCAAACAAGCTTGGAAGCAGGAGTGGCATCCACTTCCATAAGAGCTTGTCTCTGGAAACCCTATGAACCTGGAGAAAGGACCAAAGTTGCACACTTTTCCAGGTCTTTCGTTCATAGGGTTTCTATGAGTCGCCTACGACTCGACAGCACTTAACAAGAACAACAACGATGGCCAGGCAGATGGCAGAGAGCAGCCAAGGAGGAGAGCACCTGCTGTTCTGGCCGTGAGCTGGACTGGTTAGCAACGGTGAGGTCACCGCAGGGGCTGACAACAGAGCACTCAGCGGCAGGGAGGCCCGTCAGCGTGCCTGCTAGGAAAAGCAGTAGCTGAGAGGCCAGAGCGAGTAGCTACCCTGCCTATGAGCTGTGCCAGTTAGCAGGAGAGAAGCTGATGGTACAGAGCCCCGTGGTAAAGAAAGTGGCATGGCTGGGAAGGCCCACACGGCAGAGATGGCAGCTGCCTTGTGGAGAAGGCCTGCACAGTGGAGAAGGCCTGCACGGCAGACATGGCGGCTGCCTTGCGGAGAGGGTGCACCTCCTGGGCCCTGGAGAAGGGCAGTTCAGAGCTGTTTCAGTGGGAGGCTCACCCGCTTCAGAAGCTGTCTGCTGTGAGAATTGTGCTGGTCGGAGGCTGTCCTACACAGAGGAGACCCTGCTTGTGGGCTTCCTAATCCTGATCCCAAGTCATTCCTGTCACTTTCCAGTTGACCCTGATGCTGAATCTTTCCTCTTACTTTCCAGTTGAACCTGAGTCCTTCCTGTCATTTCCCAGTGAATCCAGATCCCCTTGTTAAGCTCCCAGTAATCCAAACCTGAACGCGGTCTGTGAGTTCTGAGTGGCCATTGCAATAACTTATCAAACCCTGATGGGAAACTGAGAGTGTCGTGTTGCAGGGGGCGGAGTGGCTGGTGTCAGACGTAATGAAGCAGAAAGGCAGAGACAGACATGACCTGCATCTCACAGGAACCGGCTTTGGGTGGACCCTGATTCTTATCCCTTAGGAGCTGAGGCCAGTCATGACACTATTTCACATCCGACTCACTGGACACACACGTGATGAGACCAACACCTCCAGTACCTTTTCTGATCTGACGTCTCTCACCCTCACCTTGCTCCGCAGCCTAACTCCTTAAGGCTGTTTCCGGTCTCAGGATCTTAGCTTCCGGTGGTCCCTCTTCTTAGATAGCCCCTTAAGGATATCTGCTTCCCACTCTCACCACAGATGTCTCCACCTCGCTGAGCCTGATCACCAGTGCCCTCCCCTGACTGCCTCTCACCTCCCCCGTGGACATGGCCCCAGCCCCCAAAACACTGCCTGACACAGCGCTCCACAATGGCGCAGGCGCAGAGAGGTCCATGGGCACCAGGCTGTCCACCTGGGGTCTGCAGGGAGGAGCAGGTGAGTGCTCACACGGACGGGTGTGGATGCACAAGCGTGTGCCCGCCAACCCAGGTGCACACACTCACGACCTCACTCACCATCAAGAGGATGTCCTCCTCCTTCTTGACCACAGCAGGCGACAGCACATTGGCCAGGAGGATGCCCAGGGGGTTTGCTGGATGGACAGACAGGGAGATGTCAGATGGAACCTTCTGGGCTCCGGTGTCAACGTCCCCTGGTGGAAAGCATGAGTGTGGGGGACAGAGGCACCAGGACCCCCACCCAGGCCACACTCACACATGGTGCCGATCATGTTGGCTGTGGCTCGCTGGTGCTCCGGGAACCACAGGGCGGCCAGCTTGGCAGGAGAGAAGACCACCAGGGTCTGGGCCAGCGCACAGAGGCTCTGCCCCACCATGAGGTAGGCAAATGGGTACTGGAGCGAGGCGATGATGCCAGGCAGACTACGCAGGATGCTCCCCAGGAAGTTCAGCCACGCGCCCAGGATGGTCTGCAGGGGAGGAAGAGGCAGGAGCTGCCCAAGCCACCTTCCCTCGTCAACTGCCTCGGACGCCTCCCACCCAGCACACACGGACCGCTGGCTCCTCCCTGCCTGTCATTTGCTTCCAGCACAGAGCACTCTGGGAAGCCAGGGCTGAGCAGAACACACCATCCTTCCAAGGTCCCTGGGACCCCCAACCTGTGCTGCTGCTCCCAGTCTCTGTGGAGGGTGGGCAGCGGGGAGTGGACAGGGGACGCCATCGACACTGTGCTACTGACTGCATCCCAGGAAGACTCTGAGTCTGTCCTTCCCCTTAGTCTTTTGTCCCTACAGCTGGGCTAGTGGTAAGAAGGAGTGCGCAATCCCAAAGGCACACAGTTCAAGTCCTCTAGCCGCTCTGTGAAGGATGGGCCATCTCCTCCTGTGCAAATGACAGTCTCTGAAAACTCACTAGAGGGTCCAGCTATGGGGCGGTTCCAACTGCACAACAACAACAACAGCGGCTGGGCTTGGAGCCCACACTCAGCCCTCAGCCGCTGGGGCACCCCTTTCCTCTCAGAGCCTCTCCCCAGTGCCCTCAATGTCCAGTCCTCCACCCAGAGCTGTCGGGAAGGCCGCCCCTCCCACCTGGTCACAGGGTCTGCGCGTCCCCAGCACAGGCAGTGAGCCCATCCCCAGAGACCCCAACCTGCCCGAGAGTCCTCCTCATCCACAGCCCTCCCCTCCGCCAGCGCCACCTCCCCACCGGGCACATGCCCGAGACCCTTGCCCGAGTCCTACTCCTCCAGGGACCACCCTCAGGCCCCTTCCTCCCCGACAAGCTCCTGAGATATCACTTCCCTGCTGTCCCTCAGCCAAGTGGGGGACCTGGGGGGCCAAGCTCGCTCTTCCTGACAGGCAGGCTGGCCCCTTCGCTCCTGGACAGCCTGGCTGAGGTCCCAAGGGGTCTCCACCCACCCCTGCTCTCTCCCAGATCAATTTCTGGGTCCCTCCTTCTTCTCTCATATTCCTCCTTCCTCATTGACTCGTCACCCCTTAAATGCAGGGCTTTCCTTCTCCCCCTTCCTGTGAGCTGGCCCCCACCTAGGTGAAGGCTTTGGCTACAACCCTCACCCTTCCCCTCCCAGGCCCATCAACTTGGAAAATGGCCAGCTGTGCCCATGTTCTCCGAGTGTTACCCAGATGCCACCTGGCACCATTCAAAGCCCCTAGGTAGGCTCTGTTACCACGTTGCCACACCCGCCTCGCTGTCCTCTCTGGCCACGACGCCTGTGTGACAAAATGGGTCGTCCGTGCCTGTACGGGGTCTCTGACCTCAAGGATAGCATAAGAGGGAATCTTGCAAGCCCTGTGCTTGTGAGTGGGCTGATGCCTGGATATTTGTTACAGATGGGTCTTCGTAATCCCGGGAAACCTCTGGAAATTAAGTTGCTTCTAGGATAAGAATGGGAGTTTCTGGGGTAAAATCAGGGGAACTTCACCAGAACTGGGATAAAGATTTAACTAAAGTCCTTAATCAGGAACCATTTGATGTTCCTGGAAATGATAACATACAAGATGAAAATATAAAAGAAATTGAGATTGCTCTGAAAAGTATAATTTTGAATATGATCTTTGAGTATGTATCTAATTCCTCTTTTGTGATACTTGCAACTCATATTTAGTAATGTAATTGTATATTAAGAGAAAGTTTAGACTAGTTTTAACAGCAGAAAGTCATAGTTAATGAGAATAAAACAGAGAGGTTTAAGAAAAGACTCAAAAGACAAACTTCTCTAAAAGTAAAGGTCTCTTTAAGAAATAGGAAATATTACCAGATAAATAATAGGTGGTGGGAAGAAAGTACTTATAAAGGACCATATGTCCTGCCAACTCCAACACCAGTACCTCTTCCTTATACAGACGTTTTGTATTCCAAGGAAAAAGAATTGAATATTACAAATTAACTTGGTAAAAACAAGTTAAAGGAAGTCGTCCACCTTAGTGCACATTGCCAAACAAAAAACAAATTAAAATCTTATGAAACAAGTTGCAAAAGCTATTGTTAAACATAGGAATGGTCCAGAGTGTAAGAAAATAGATGTTAAGATTCGTTAGGTACAGTACAAATATGAGTACAAAGGCAAAAACAAAGGTGGCTAAAATGCAGTGACACAAAGTAGGAGAGGAAAGGAAGTGAAATGTAAACCATTAACCATTGTCTAGCAGATGACCAACATAAGGTCATTGTGTTTCTTGTTCAAAGAATGTTTAATAGCCGATGCTATTATTTAGTAATAGAAAATACTTTCTTTTTGTTAAAATCTTATGTAAGCTTTGTAATCACAAAATGTTGGCTATAAGTCAAGTTTAAACAAGTTTAAATGTATAAAAAGCAAGCTTTTAGCATAATAAATCAGAGCTCTCTACATCATCCTGGTGTGCAGACTCTCATTTTCGCCGACTTCGTCCCTCACCTGCTCTTCACCAAGAAACCCCTTGAGTTTCTTGTCACGACCGTGGTCGGGTGGTCGGTGACACCACGTCATACAGAGGTAAAGATGTGGCCCAAAAAACCTCTCCAGGGGCTCAGGCTCAGTACCTGCGTGCAGACTCCCCTCTACCTGCAGGGTCCTCCGACCCCACCCCTACCTCTCTAACTGCTTCTTCCTCTCCACCTGCGACAAGCGCCCAACCTCCCATCCACCTGTCCTGTTCTCACCCCCCATCTGTACCTGCCCTGTTCCCCCAGCACCCCACTTCACCTGGCCCCCATACCCCACTAGAAGAGTCCTTGAATAACCGCCGCCCCAGCTGCCCTGCGTCCTGCTGGGCAGGACCCCCATCAGGTGGACCTTGCCATCCCACAGACAGCCTCAGTGTGGGGTGGAGACTCACTGCGCCCCGGAGCCCGACCGAGTCCAGGAACCAGATGGACACCAGCCCGAAGGGGATGGACAGCACCAGGTAGATGAGGGACAGCCAGTTGACCTGCTCAACAGACAGGTGGAAGTACTTGGCGAAGGTGTCGGCCACGGGCGCGAAGCTGAGCCATAGCTGTGGGGACACATGGGGGGACGGTCAGCCTGGGACGGGACCACTGCCACCATCCGCTGCCTGGGTCAGACAGAGGGCGAGGGCATCATCCCAGGGCGTGTCCTGAGAGTGCCGGCACAACCCCACTCAGGAACTGGCCTCAGCCCCTGCTGCTGAAGTCAGGCGCCATCGAGTTTGCTGAGACCCACAGTGACCCTGTGAACGACACCGGGCCCTGGCCCATCCTGCACCATCCTCAGACCCTCCGCCTTGCTCAAGCCTCTTAGCGCAGTCACTGTGCCACGCCATCCTTTTTAAGGTCTCCTTTCCCTCACCCCCACCTGCCCCTGCATGATGTCTTTTCCCAGGGCGAGTCCCTCCTGACAACACGTGCAGAGTATGCGACACCACGTTTTACCACTGTAGCTTCCAAGGACAAGGAGCACTTCAGTTGCATTTCCGCTGAGACAAGACTTGCTTGCCCTTTTGGCGGTCCACAGGGTGAGGTGGAAAGTGCACCTCCTCTGGCAGAAATAGGTGGGAGAGGCAGGCTGGGCAGGGTGGGGGCTCCGCTTGGCCAGACATGGGGAGGCCTGACCCGGGGAGAGCGGATGTCTCAGATCCAACTGCGTCACCTGAAATATGTGTTGGAATCTCACATTTCCGTGATAGTGACCTTAAGCCCATTGGGGAATAGCTTTTCTCTGTGATGTTAAAGATACGGCATTGATGCATTGATACAGGGAGCATTCTGAACCCCGTCACCTCTCAGTGTGATACATTCTGAATCCTGTCTCCTCTCAATGACAGAAAGATCAGTGTAATCACAGGAGCAAGTGCAGACCAGAGGGAGGCAGGTACCAAGGCACCCTGAGGCCACGGAGCTGGACAGAGATGGGTCTCTCCTCTCCCTGCCTGGGAGAGGGTCCTAACCCAGACTGACCTCACAGGACAGAGCAGAATACGGTCCTCAAGGGCTTCCGAGACTTCAATCTCTGCAGAAGCAGATGGGCACCTATTTCTGCCTCAGAGAAGCTGGTGGATTTGAACATCCCAGAGGAATGAATAGTCCACGGACGGCCAATAGAACAAACAGATCTGAGCGCTCTGGTGGCCTAGTGGCAAGAAGCTGCACTGCAATCCTGGGGGTGTGCAGTTCAAATCCACCAGAAGCTGTGCTGGAGAAGGAGGGACAATCTCCTACTGTACCAGTCAGATCTGATTGGACGGGGGACACACACACACACACACACACACACAAATAATAAAATGTAAAAAAACCCACAAAACCCAAAGAGATCTTTCCTGGAGGACGTGCTGGTGAGACCGCGCCTCCTTTACCTGGCCTTGTTGTCAGGCGGGTCCAGCCCTCGGAGGAGGACATCATACTTGGAAAGGTGGAGGGTCAGGGAAAGAGAGGAAGGCCCTCAACAAGAAGAGTGGACACAGTGACTGAAACAACGGGCTTGACTATATCGGGGTGATGAGGATGGCACAGGGCAGGGTTCAGATGCATCGTTCACAGGGTTGCCTCAAAGGTACCGCACAAGCACCACCTTCAGGTGGACTGCGCACATAGCCCGACGGGTTGTTGTTATGGACACAGGCGGCAGGGGCTGACTCATAGCTGATCCTCCGGGGGGACTTCAGAGGCTGTAAATCTCACTGAAGGAGACTGCCCACTTTTCTCCTGCGGGACAGCTGGAGGACGCATACAACATGCCTCTAAGTCGGTGACGTAATTCCTTACCCTCTAGGCCACCAGAGCTCCCCGGACGGACAGGGGGTTGTGGTTTTATGTCCAACTGAGTGAGAACCGACTCACGGCTGACCTTCCAGCAGGTTTTCAGAGACAGTACACCACAAAGCGAAGCCTGCCCATGGTTCTCCCGCGGAGCAGCGGGGGATTCTAACCATGTACCTTGGGGTTGGCAGCACAACCCCTTTACCACAAAGCCACCAGGGTGCCTTACTGAAAGGTAGGTAGTTAAGCTAGGTAATGTCAGGATAAACGAAGAAAAGATTGAAGTTGCCAACAATTCTTTTTTAAAAAAGAAATCCTTTTACTTGGATTCAGAATCAACACCTATTGTCCTAAAAGTTAAGAAATCAAAAGAAATGTTACATTGGGGAAATCTGCTGTCAAGGACCTCTCCAAAGTGCTAACGAGCAAGGATGTCAGTTTAAAGACTAAGGTGCATCGGATCCAAGCCATGGTATTTTCGATTGCTTGTTATGCATTGGAAAGTGGAGCAATGAATAAGGAAGACTAAAGAGTTTGGGCTGTGGTGTTGGAAAAGAGCACTCAGGCTGCCGAGAAGATGGAACGAATCTGTCCTGGAGGGCGTGCAGCCAGCATGGTCCTCGGAGACAAGGACGGTGACACAGGCTCACAGACTGTGGGTAAGTTGTCAGGAGGGTCCCGTCCTTGGAAAGACCGCAGGCTGGGAAAGGTGAAGGAAGAGAGAAAGGGAGGAAGACCTTCGGCAGACGGACTGATGAGGTGGTGGGAACAACGGCTCGAGCATATCAGAGAAGGGGGGGGGGGTGACACCGAACAGGCCAGGCTCACATCTCCTGGCACAGGGTCCCTACGAGTTATCGTGGACAGCACCAAAACAACTTCTGGTGCAGTGGTTAAACCATCTCATCACAGGCCTCCCCTGCCCCAGAGAGCAACGCCCTGAGAGCCTTCTAGCCCCCAAATGGTGAGAAAATACATGTTTGTTCTTTCAGGCCAGGACTTTCTGACATTCTCAGGACATTTCTGTGACAGCAGCACGAGAGACTGAGACAGTGGAGGTGACGGAGCTGGCCCGACCAGGAGAGAGGAGTCTCACTCAGGGCTGGGACCTGGGAGGGCAGGAGAGGGAGCATGTGTGGGTGGCACTGGCTCCGGATCAACCTGCACAGGTGCGCTGAGCCCGGCGTGGGCACGGGGCCTATGGACTCCAAATGTGAAGAGCGCAGAGGGGGTCAGATGCCCCGGGCTGGGAGAGTCCGGGAGGATGGAGTCACAGGGACAGCAGGCCCGGCTGCTCAGGATGGGAGACATGAACATCAAGGCAGAAGCCAGAGAGGACTTTCCACCGAAGGAGGGGGCGCACTGGACACAGCAGCTCCGAGATCAGAGATGGAGGCTTTTGATTCACGGTACTGGTGAGGAGGATTGGAGAGACCACAGACCGACAACTAGTCCACCACAGTCAGGACGCTTCGAGAAGTGAGGAGGTGAAGCTTTGTCTCACACACGTCCCACGTGTGGTCAGGAGGGACCAGTCCCCAGGACAGGATGTCATGCTTGGGAAGGCAAGAGCTGTGAGTCTTCCAGTTGGAACCGACCCCTAGCTGACATCTGGAGGCTTTTTCAGAGACAGCAGTGCTTGACTTGAAGGCAAACAATAACAACAATTCTAATGGGAGGCGATTAGGGAGGAGATTACCCATCTTTCTCCTTGGGAGCAGCTAGTGGATTTGCACCAGGTGTCTTTGGAGCAGCTGGTGGATTCAAACCATGTGTGTTTGGGCTGGAAGTGCAACTCTTTACTCACTAGGCCACCAGAGCTCCCAGAACTAAGTACAAGGATATTTTTACTTTAAAAAAAAAAAAATCTGCTGAAACACCACACAAAAATTGTATAGTCTTTTTGGGATCGCTCTGGGATTTGCACTGTGACCTCTCCCCCCTCCACTCCTGATGTCAACAGTGACAACCCCCCAAGACCCTGCTGCAGTGGCGAGACCCCCAAGACCGCTCTCTGAGGGACAAGCGTGGGGGTCATCCAGGCCTCAGCGAGGACTCTGGCGGCCTCCAGCCACCGGCCAGGAGAGAGCGCTGTCCGCCCCGCCTGCGGGTCGAGTGTTCGAGCGCAGCCGGGGGCTGGGCGCACCATCGCGCAGGGAGGGAAGTGCGGCTGCGGCGGGGCGCGCTCTGGTTGGAGGAAAGTGAAACTCAAGCCGGGCGGACCGAGGGGAACCGGCGACTGCAAACCCCAACCCTCTAGGGCCGGGGACTCTCGAGGAGTGAGCCCAAGACCGAGTTGGGAGCTGGGCAGCCAGGGCCCGGGGTGAGGGGCACCTTGGTTCGACCACTCCCTGCGCGCCAACAGGACCCCAACGCCCTGGATCCCTGCCTTGGACCCCGCTTCTGGACCACCAGCGCCCGGGATCCCCCCTCTTCACCCTCATCGTCGCGCCTGGGGCCCCGGCAGGGACCCCGCGCCCCTACCGTGGCGTTGGAACAGCTGAGCAGGCTGACCGCCAGCAGGAAGACCCAGCGGCGCGCGTAAACGCGGTAGCCCCTCAGCCGGACGAGGATCTCGGTCCCCGCCGCCCTGGGCTGGCCGTCCGCAGGCCCTGCCTCGTTCTCCGCTGCCCCGGCCATCGGTCCCCGCCCTGCCAGCGCCGCGCCAGCTTAAGGATCGCGTGGGACAGGCCCTCCCCTGGGGTGGGGCGGGGCGCTGGAGTCGGGTCCGCCCCAAAGCGCCCGCGCTGTCGCCGCCTGCACCGCGGCCAGGACGGTGGAACTTGCTCTCCTGGGCCACTGGGTCCCACATGAAGCGCGTGTGTAGGGGGACCCTCCTCCGCTGGCCTCAGATCTGTGCGTGAGGGGAGGTGGTCCCTGCCCCAAACACAGATACACACCCAATCCAGACCCCCAGCCCTGCCTTACAGGTGCCTAGGTCAGCGACCTCTCTGAGGTCCCGCAGTGGACGTGTCCATGTGACACAGGAGTGGGGCCAACGCTGCCTTCTGGAAATGCAGTCCACGGTGGGCACACACACACATACACCTGGGGCTGGACACCAACTCCCAAACACAAATCTGCCATCAAAGATCTCTTTAAAGGGCTGAAGAACTTTTTGAGGAAGCACCAAACTGCCTTCCAGAATGGTTGCACCATTTTACAATCCCACCAACAATGTGTAAGAGTTTCTATCTGGGCTGGTCCTTGCCAACATTTATTATTACTTGCCTCCCTGCTAAACTTAGCCACTGTTACTGGAGTGGGATGGTATCTCATCGCGGTTTTGATTTGCACCTCTCTTATTGCCAGTGATTTTTGAGCGTTCCTTCATGTGTCTGTCTGTTTGCCCTTCAAATATCTTCCTCAGAAAATTATTTTCATGTCTTTTGCCTATTTTGTATTTGGGTTATGTGTCTTTTTCTGGTGGAGGCCCAGGATTATTCTGTACACTTTCATTATGAGACTCTTGTTTGAGATGGTATTACCAAATGTTTGTTCCCAGCTGGTAGGTTTTCTTCTCACCCTATTGAGTCCATATGACCCAGCTATTCCACTACTTGTAATATACCCTGAAAAAATGAGAACTGAGTCACAAATGGAGACTTGTACACCAATGTTCATAGCAGCATTATTCATCATCGCAAGAACATGGAAACAGCCCAGATGTCCAACCACAGATGAATGGATTGAGAAATTACGGCATATTCACACAATGGAATACTACACATGCAGGAGCAATGATTTTGTAAATTATTCCCTAATGTGAGAGGGACTGGAGAGTATTATGCTGAGTGAACTCACTCAGTCCCACAAGGACAAATGTTGAATAAAACCATTTTTGTAGAACAAGTATAAGGATCCAAGGCGGGAGGGGAAGCAGAGGGATAAGGATGTGCAGGGGGAAGGGAGGAGTAATCATGGGTTGTACAATTTGATGGGGGAGAGGGAAATTGGAAGAATCTGTTCTGGAAAACAATGTATTCAAATTTTATAAATAAACTAGTATAATAATATAAAAGAAAACCACACAAAAAAAATATAAAGGCATGAAGAGCAAGGATGTCAGTGTAAAGACCAAGGGGCACCTGACTCAAGTAATGGTATTTTCCATTGTTTCCTATGAAAGTTGGACAACAGATGAAGAAGATCAAAGAAGAACCGATGCCTTTGAATTGTGGTGTTAATTATTTGTGGCATAGCCCATGGGCTGCCAAAAGAATGAACGCATCTGTGTTGGAGGAAGTGTTACCAGAGCACAAGAATGGTGAAGCTGTCCTACATACTTGGAGCACGCTGTCAAGAGGGGTCAATGTTTGGGAAGATATGCTGGAAAAGCAAGAGGGTCAGTGAAGGAGAGGGAGACCCTCAACAGGACAGACTCACACAGAGGCTGCAAGTGTGGGCTTGAGCGGGCAGAGATTGTGATAATGGCACAAAACAGGACAAAGTTCAGATCTGTGGTTCACAGGATCACTATGAGTCCTGGTGGTTTTGATGACACCTACCAACAACAGCAATCAGGTCCCCTGGAATGGCCAGAGGCCAGCCCAGAGGAGAGGAAGCTGTAGGCAGTTTGCCAGGGTCCTTGAATTCCAAGCTTGTCGTGTGCTGCCCTGTTGGGGAAGTGAGACTAGGGAGTAGGGTCCAGAGAAGAGAGAAGGCTGAGGAGGGGAAGGAAACCAGGGCAGCTGCCTCAGACCACAGGTCTTGTAATCTGCTGGGTACCGCTGAGCACACAGCTGGGTGGAGAAATGAGGCATTTTTGGGGCATGGGATTGTTAAGTGTCTGGGTGTTTCCTTCTCCACCCCGCAGTGCCACCTGCCAGGCTTGCTCGCCCTGCCTTCTCCAGGGTGTGGTATCACACAGAGTCTCACCAGCTCTCCTGCCAGGGAGCCTTCTGACTGCACATCTTCCAACAGGGATTCACTTTTCTGGCAGTCCACGGTGTCTGAAAACCACATGAGGGCTCACCACTCTAAAGCAGCGGCCAGGGAACAAGACACGTGAAGTGTTCTCTGCCTGCCATCTCTTTAAACCTCAGGGCAGCCCAGCAGGTGTGCACTCTTGATGCTGCTGTTAGGTGCGTCCAACTTGCTACGACCCTGCTCGTGACAACAGGAAGCCCTGCCTGGTCCTGTGCCATCATCACAATCGGTGCTGTTCTTAAGCCCATTTTTATAATCATTGTCCATCTCATTGAAGATCTTCCTTGTTTGTTTGTTTTTTTAACTTTTTTAAATTTTATTCTATTATTTTGTGTGCATATACTGTCTAATCGGATCTGACTGGTACAGGAGGAGATTGTCCCTCCTTTTCCAGCAGAGCATCTGGTGGATTTGAACTGTGTGCCTCTGGTATTGCAGTGCAGCTTCTTGCCACTAGGCCACCAGAGCTCCCTTGAAGATCTTCCTTGTTTTCCCCACTTGACTGTGCATGCTATTCTCCAGAGACTCGTCCAAAGAATGTGAAATGAAGTTTCACCAT